CGCAGTTAGATCTATCATGTATGCGATGCTAGGCACCTGACCTGACCTATTTTTTCTCAGTTAGTTTATTGAACAAATTTCAAAGCAACTCAGGCCCAAAACACTGAAAACTAGTACAAAAAATTCTGAGATACCTCAAAACATTGTGTTATAGAGGTACTTATGAGTGGGTGGAAGAAAACTCGGATTTAGACTATCAGAAAGATCCGGACGACCTGAAGTCCACATCAAGATGAATTTTTATACTTGGTGGAGGGGTTGGTTCTCGTTGTTCAAAGAAACAATCTACAATAGCCTTGTCAGACGAACTTCAGTATCTGGCATGTTGTGAGACGGCAAGGAGGTTGTATGGTTGAAAAAGTATCTCAATAGTTTGAGATTCAGGACGGTGAGGTGTGACACTGTGCAGATCTATTGTGACAACCATTCAGCTATATGTGTTCCCAAGGAGCCAAGATTCCATAAGAAATCCAAGTAAATTAAAGCTGAATAATATCATGTAAAGAACCTCTTTCAGGATGATGACTTTGAGATTTCTTATCTTCCCACAAACACAATATTGGTGGATACTTAAACAAAGGTTTCAGTGGAGTGCTTTTGTGAAGTCAGTACATGGGATGAGACTGGGAGCTGGTGAATTTGAGTGACTGTACTGGCATTCATATGCTAAGCAGCAGATGTTGGGCTTTTGTGGCCTTCAAAAGCATGGACACTTGGTTCTTTTGATAAAAATCTCTTTTGTATTCCCATGTGTCTGAACTCACGCTTTTGTATTCTTCAGCATTCCCAGTTTGAGTGGGAGTGTTGGATTCTCCTGGATGAAACAATGTGAACCCACCCTACTTGGATTAAATAGGTCACTGGGGTAGATGAGTTCTACTTGGATGAAATAGGTCATTAGGGTGGGCATGAGTCGATTCTACTTGGATGAAATAGGCTGTTAGAGCTAGTTGGAGTTGTCTCTATCTGGGAGATAATGGGTTCTCTCACTCTTTGCCATGGTGTATGACTGGGCCATGGCTAGAAGAGTGTACCCACACCTTGTTATGGATAGGCTTACTCCCTATGTTTCGTATCATCGAATAGGATTCATGGGTACTCTGTCGAGGTCGGTAAGCCTAATGGTAGATGATATTTTAGCCAAGAGATGGAATAGGCTCATGTGTGTTAGGATGGTGGCCTTTGAGGACGGGTGCCTGAAAGTCTCGACATGGCATCCTACATAGCATGTATGCTGCTAGTTGTGTTCTTTGGTTCCATACATGCATGTTCTTGAGAGATGACTTCCCTTGCACGCACTAGAGATGTGGACACTCCGATTTAGTGCTTTGTCATATGACCGATAAACTTGTCCTTAGGGAGGTACGCACCTGGAATTTACTGTGACTATGGCACTTCTATGCTTAACTCAACTTTTATGAGCCAATCATGAGACCCTTGCATAAGAAACTTTTAGGTTGTGGGTTTGTTGAGTTGGTTAGGATGGTTATGAAATGTCTAATGGAATAAAATTCATTTGTTTTGGATCAGGAGTATTTTTGAAATTTCTAATTTGTTGTAAAGATGTCTTTTATGGGAATTTTGCTTATAGGGGTGGCGTAAAATTGAATCCACAATGTTTTAATTGTGTTTTTTGAGCCATGTGGAGCCCACGTCATGGCTAGGGCATGATGGTCGCTATAACCTATGGTTGTGGTGTGGGATCCGCTTGAGTGTGGATGGTGCCTAGAACCTATGGGGATGCCTATGGCAAGTTGGAATTGTTATGGATGGTTAATTTTTTTTCAGTTTTGAAAAGTTAAAGGTCTAAATTTGTTTGGAGAAGATCGGATGAATTATGGGAAATCTAATCTAGTTAGGAGTTAGACATGAAGAAACTTACTAGATCTAGAAGTTCTATAGATGTCCATTTGGACTAGAAGATTGGGAGAGCATGGAACTCTAGGAACCTTAAGGGATAGTAGTGTTGAGATCCACCCTTGATTCTTAATGGCTGGCCAAGGGATCGATGGCTGAGTGGGCCCTTTCACAACATAGATCTCCTAATCCTAGTAGAAGACTAATTCACATGTTTTCAGCTCTTCCCCTCTAGACCTCTATACAGTGGGTAGCCCACCCCTTTTGTGTACATATTCATTCTTCCCCTGAGAGAGCACCGCGTGGGATAGAGGAAGAGAGGTTAGAAGAGAGCGAGATGAATGTGCAAAAGAGAGAAAATTAAGGTTTTTTAGGAAGTGTTGATGAGACAGAGTGGATATGAGAAAGGGTTGGGCTGCATTTTGGACTCCCTGTCGTAGGTGAGAGAGTTAAGAGGGAAAAAATCCTGCAACCAAAACCACCTTATCTCTGTTACATACCCTCAACTAAGAAGAAGTTGGGTGAATTTCTCTCGTATGATGTGCCATTGATTCAGAGATAGTGTATGGGTTGTACCAAATCCTACATGGTGATTCTAGGTAAATTTTCAGGTATGTGACCTTGCTAGTTTTTTCCTTTTTTGGAGCACCTAGTTAGCAACATGGCGGCAACTTTTGAGTGTAGTTGCACCTTGTAAAATTTTGCAAGAGCCATGTGTAAGACCAGGGATTTCAGGGGTTTTAATGAAAGGTCCTGAGATCAGTCTTGCTGGAAATTTTTAAAATACAACACCCTGCAGCACCCAGTTATATAGCCTTTATCAAAAGTCTTCTCGAATTTGTGGACATATCTTCTGCAGTCAGATTGCTTTCATATCTGAAACTAAGCGCATTCACAAAACCAAATAGATTGCTGATTCTGCCTAGTCATGGCCAAACGGGAAATAAATGTTCCTTTGATTTGAGATTAAATCCATCTACTTAAGAAATAAGGTATACCCGTAACTACATCATATGAATTCCTATATGAATGTACTGATAATAAACTCCGAGATTTAGAGAATATTATTGCAAGTTGCACTTTCATATACAGAAAGCTATATCTGGGTCAGAAGTTGCATGGGTGATTTTGATATGAATGGGAAGTTATTTGCTCAGATGCAAACAAAGCAGGGGAGGATAACTCTACAGGAGGTGGGAACAAAAAAGGCTTGGGCTGTATATTTGATATGGCCCTGCAAAACCTGGGAGTTGGGTAGGAAGCTCACTTTCTTATAACCACGCCATAATCAATATTGGTAGCCTTGCAGAACATGGGAGTTGCCCAGGAAGCCCACTTTCTTATAGCCACTTGAACAGTATCATATGGATTAGCCCTGGGACATGGAGTTTGGGCAGAAAGGGCACTTATAATGGTTCCCTCACTTGCCCTTCCAAATTTGATAATCATAGAGAATAAGGGGAAGTTTTCCCGAATTGAAGAGGGATTATTGATCCCAAAATTCGATGTCCTTGAGATTTAGAGAAATGGAAGAGACTCTTAAGCACTCTGAGCAGGAAAGAAGTGAGGACCCTAGGTGGGAGTATGAGAGAGAGCATACAAAGATCTGCTAGATTCTGAACTGAGGAACACTGCAACAAGGTAAACTGAGCAATGTGTGCACCATATGTAATATCTTCCTCTTTCTTCTGATGTAATGTTTTAACACCATTGATGTAATGGATTAAACAAAGGTTTTCTAATGTTACATTTACATTCAGATGTAATGAATAGCATGCATCTATGGGTGCTCCAGAACTCTAATACCCAGGAATAATAAAAAGCACAAAAATGAGGTGGTGAACTTAGCTTGTTCGAATTGTGTTACTTTAATTCACTTTAAAGATCGCATGTTGCTAAAACAGTGCCTCAACGTTGCCTTGATTAAAGCGATTTTCCCATTGAAAGATACTAATCTAGTTTTCCAAGCAGCAGCATATGGTCAAGCCCCTCAACTGCGGCACCTTGTATGGCTTGCCTAAGTGTAGCGGAAGGATTTAATGTTGCTGGGTACCCTGTCAATACCACAGCCAATTCTTTTATCCAAGATGCATTAATTTTCATGCATGATGCGAACCCCGATGAGTTTCTCTTCTTCATATTTAACTTGAATCCTAATGAGAATCCAAAAACACCTATGAAGCAGGCATAATTTGTCTACCTGATTAGGGTCGGCATCACAAAATACTGAAGTATTATGAGCATGTTGTAGGTGGGAGAGGGAGATTACAGGAGCGCCCCCTGCTCTCTTTGAATTCTTGAAGTATATTATGATCCTTTACCTTCGAGATTGATTTATTGAAGTTTCAGCCATAATGGCAAACAGGCAGTGGGAGAGAGGGTGATCTAGACAACTGGCAAAAATCCTTTAGGGAAATAGCCCATTAACAATAACTGAGACCAGAACTAGAGATACATCTTTTTATCCAAGATTTCCATTTGATGCCCAAACCCATAAGCTGTTGTACTTGATCAAGAACTCCCCAATCAACATGGCTTAGCCTTTTCCTAATCGAATTTAAAGATCTGGCTCCTTTTCCTGGATTGTCGTCTTGTATGAATCACTTAATGGGCAATGAGAGCTCCATCCAGGATTTGGCTGTCCTTGATGAAGGCCCATTGCAACTGACAAGAAGCTAGCACCTTGGACGATGTCTTATATGAGCTACTAACAAACTTATTGGCCTACAATCCTTCGATTCATCTGCCCCTTGCACTTTGGGGATGTGGGCTAAACGTGACATTCAGGCCCCTATTAACTATACCTCTATGGAAAACCTTGGCAAAGAGTGCAAGGACATAGCGAGCCAGGACTTCCATGAACTTTTGGATAATGTGATTGGAAAGCCATCCGGGCTTGGCACCTTATCCTTCCCTTAGTTTGCCATGGCTTATCTAATTTCCTCTTACAAAAAAAAGGCCTCTCCAGCTCAAAGCAATAGAGAAGGATAAACAGGTTGGCCGGGTAGGCCCAACTCAAAGCAATAGAGAAGGAACAAGAAGAATCCAGTTTGTGGATAATCATATGAAACAATTTCTGTATTAATAACTATTATTGAAGAGCTAAGGTATATCGAATGCTTACAATGTTTTCTCATTTTCAGGTCGTGCAGTTTCTTCTGGGTGATACCCATTCTGGGACTTCTTCCTCTGACAGCGATAGTGATTCTGATGAGGCGTTGCTCGTGCAGCAGATGTTGCCTAAACTATGGGCCTACCCCACAAGACATTTGACTCATGTCTGGAAGATGCCTTCCGAGGGATGAAAGACATTTGACTCGTGTCTGGAAGATGCCTTCCGAGGGATGACTCTCTCTCTCTCTCCTC